TACTTATTTGACCTATACACGTTGTATAATTTGACTTAAGACCTCTTGCTGTTAATACCGTTTCGTGAGTCGTGCCGTCGGGATCTTAGAATTCCGTGTGCAGATTATACTTTTTTCTCTGTGATGTTCACACCGCATTTATATACCCGCCTCACTTGGCTTATTCTGATGCATTTGTTCTCCAGACTACTTGGTGAGTTACCATAGAATTTTTAACTAACTAGACACTACAGACGCGCGCTACGCGCGCGCTATTTATCTTTAACATTTCACTATTAACCCTATTATACACAACTGTCAAAATATACAATGACAGCTGCAAATGAAGTAAGCGCAGCAAGAGAACCAATCGGCATCGCCGAAAAGCGGCAACAATAAACTTCACATCTCCTTTTTAGAAGAGGACTAGAACAACACAGGCGCGCGCTACGCGCGCGCTTTTATTTTATTTCACAAATGGAACAACACAGGCGCGCGCTACGCGCGCGCGTTTATTTTGTTTCACGAATATACAACCATACATTTTTTATATTTTTATTAGAAGTGAAGAGGTAAGTCGCTAATATCGACATAGGTCCTCTAAAGCGACGCCTTCTTATTTCTCGAAAACTAAACACCGCACTTTATTAATGCTGATGAGGACATAATTTACTTATATAATTAAAGACGTAAAAACCTTTACTTTATACATTTATTGATTTTTATATATAAAATCTGCTAAAAACGAATCATTCAAAAGCAATTATTAAAAATAAAATTTACCCAAATCTCTTTTACTAATTGTACAGTTAAATAATGATAAATATATATTATTGATAATATTAGATTATTTTACATGTTTGTGTAACGTCCTAAAACTATTTAAATTTTTTTTTATTTTTCTTATATATATATAATGCAGTTTTATATTTAAATATAAAATTGAGATGCAACGTAAACTGGCATACTTATTGATAAAACAGATTATAAGGTAGTAAAAATCAAATAGAATGGAATAAGAAACACAGCACAAAAAGATCTTGCTGCGAAATTATGAGATAAATTTACTGGCATGCTGTCGGCATACTGCCAACATTTTGCTACGTGGGGTAAAACAATTGTGAAGCAACACACAGTAACAGACTACGAAGGTAGAAAACAAAAGGTTTCGAGTTTAAATCCTGATCGACTCTGTTAATTTTTCCGTTTACCCCTCTCGCAGTCCAAAATTTCCTTCTGTATCTTTCCTCCACCCTCACTACACTCCTTGTTTACTCGTATATTTCCATGATCCTCTTTCCCAACCTTTCACTTACCCCTGGTTTTTCCAGACATCTTCCCAAAACCCTCCTGTCCACTGAATCAAATGCCGCCCTTGGATCTACAAAAGCAGCCACTACCTTCTTTTTCCTCTTTAATCGCTTCTTTATCGCATAATTCAGTGTGTAAATGTTGTCCACCACTCCTCTCTTCTTCCTAAACTCTGCTTGGTTTTCTGAAATCATCCCCTTCTCCACTATCTCTTTCCTCAACCTATTTGCTAATATCGACGCGTACACTTTGTACGCCGTCGGCATCAGCGTAATCCCTCTATGCTCACTCACCCCTTTTGCCTCTTTTTTTCGCTATCGGAACGACTACTCCGTCCTTTCACGCTTCTGGAAAACACTCTCTTTTCCATACTCTCCCATAACGTTTTTCTTAAACCACTTCCCTCATAACTCCACACTTCATTTCCTATCTCGTCCTCTCCCGCCGCTTTACCTTTTTTCAGCCCTTTCAGCACTCTCTCTACTTCCTCCCATTCTATCTTCTTCTCTTTCTTTACTTTCCCCTCCAATTCCTGCTCTCCCTCCTCTCTTTCTCCTAGCCTTCGTTTGTATTCCGCTCCTTCTAACATCTCCCTAAAGTATTCATCCCACTCCTCTAATGTTATCTCCTTATTAATTTTTACCTTTCTTCTCCTTTCCTTGTTTATTACTTCCCACACCTGCTTCTCTGTTCTCGCCTCTCTTGCTTCTTTCAGCAGATTTTTCTTTTTTCTTCATTTTTTCTCACACATTTCCTTATACTCCTTCTTTCTTCTCTTATGATCTTTGTGTTTTCTTCCTTTTTTCCAGTCTCTTAATAACTTTTCTACCTTCTCCCTCTTCTTCCTACAATCCCCATCCCACCATACTCCCTTTCCTTCTGCCCCTCTTTTTACTCTTCTCACCCTTACTTCCATCTTCTTCTTTATCTATTGTCTCCCTACCTATTTCTACCTCCTCCGTCCTTCTTCTAAACTCCTCTCTTACTTCTTTCGACCAATCCGTCTTTTTCACCCACCTCTCTCCCTCCGCTATTGTCCCTCTCCTCTCACCAACCCCCCCCTTTGTCCACCTGTACTGCTACGGATTGGTGATCCGAATCTACCTCACACCCCATATCCAATCTTGTCACTCTTTCCCAAGCTTTTCTATCTCCTATTGCGTAATTGCATGATCACTGTTTCCCCCTTCCTCCTGTAAAAGTCACCTCCCCCTTCTCATCTCCCTCTTTTGCTCCGTTCATAATTTCCCATCCTTCCTCTTCCACCCATCTAATCAGCCCTTCCTCCTACCTATTTATTATTTTATCTTTCGATTTTTTTTCAACTCCCTCTTCTCCATCCTCCAGCGCTCCTTTCTCCCCTGTTCTCGCATTGAAATCGCCCACCACTATCCATCTCTCCTCTCTCCTTTCCTCCTCTTTCACCGATTTTATCTTACCCATGATCTTGTCCAAGTTGCCGCTTACGTAAACTGTTGCCAATCTCCATTTCTCCTTCTTCCATCTTACTTTTCTAATCATTGAACCCTCCTTCTCCTCCCATTCTTCTTCCTCTTCTAACCCTTTTCTGACTCGCATCATTATTCCACGTATTGCTCTTCCTTTTCTTCCAACTCTTTCTTTCTTTGCACCCTGTTGAACTTCTTTGGCACCCTATTCTTCATCTTCTCCCATTCCTCCTGTTCCAGCTACGTCTCTACCAACCTCACGACATCCCACTCTTTTATCTTTTCCCAAAACCCTTCCTGTTTTCCCTTCACTCCAATCAACGCAGAGTGTTGATAAGAAGAGTGTTGAACTCAACAATTGTATCTGCTAAACGCGCAAATTATCATGGAGGGAACCCGGGGCACAGTATAAAGCCTCTTGCACAATGTCAAGCAACAGACAATAGAAACAAGGAATAGAAATCAGAAATCATGTATAAATGCAGTATAAACAATGATACATTCCGTCACGTTGGAAACTCTGTGCCTATTGCTTGTTGTCAACCAGTCATAGCATTCAAATTTTTTAGGTTGTAATTGTAACGATTTTTTGGTTATTTCCTGTTCCTATTGCCCTGTTGCCTGGCATTTGTGCAAGGGGCTTAATCAGTATGTTCACTCTCTGTCGGCACCTTTCATCTTTTGGTTTCCGATTTTCTGCCATGTTTCTCGGTGGACCATCGACGTATCAACGGTTAAAGGGCCTCGGGTTGTACCTATACAAGTAACACTACCCAAATGTCATACGCCGATTTTTTTGAAACTATGCACACATGTAAAACTTCGAAAAATATTTGTGCCGTGTTTTTTAATTTTTGCTTATGAAGCGTTTAGAGTAGAAACTACCCCCGAAATATTAACCTTCTCAATTCTATGTATAACAATTCTTTAGGCCATGCACGTCGATTTGTTGTAAAAATACGAACCAGAAAACCTTGAAAATTCCTAGAGATAGTATTCTGGTGCAAAAACCATTTAGGATAACGTATATAGGATTGAGAAGGTTAATATTTCAAGGATAGTCCCTACTCTTAAAACGTTTCATAAGCAAAAATAAAAAAATACGACAAAAATATTTTTCGAAGTTCTACATGTGTATACAATTTCAAAAAAAATGGCCTGTGACACTTGAGTAATGTTACTTGTTAGATGTGCAAAAAAACTGTATACATTATTCACTCTTATTAGGAATGGCCTAGGTAGAAGCACAATAAAAGATTATATATAAATGTGCGATTACTGAATAGCAATGTTTCGATGAATTGCTCGAATGCTAATTATATCTGAAATAACTATTATAAATTATAAAATTAAAGTGGAAAATTATAAAAAAAATAGTCTAAATATTATTTATTGTTAAAAATTTTATATTCGTAGTAAAGTTTAATTAAAATTAATAATACAAAAATAATATAATTTTTGTAAATTTACATTTATTCTGTTCTATTTACAGTTATCTGTACAGCGATATATACATATTTGTTTAATACATTTACATGTATACATTTCATATGTTTACATATACGGCGGTATTCATTCGTGTTTCCAAATTTTCTGTATCGTATCAATTTCTTTTTTATGCGCTTCGCATAAAGCCTCATCCGGTTTTGAGAATCAGACTTATTATTCATGCCTCTATAAGTGTACAATATATTCTGAAACCGAAATGTAAAAAAAATTCTTAATTACTAAAATACAATTATGATAACGTATTCCGCTACATGTATCTCGCTCGATATAATATTTACCTGTACACAATAATAAAACACGTTGACTCTTTCTGTAGATGTGTTATTCATCACTTTCAGACACCAAGGCAAGCTGATTCAGCAAACATGACAGAATCGTGTCAATTTCTTTCTTATGCGCCTCGCATAAATTCTCATCCGGTTTTGAATCAGGCTTATTATTCTTGCCTCTGTAAATGTACAATATATTCTAAAATCAAAATATAAAATAAATTTTAAATTATTGAAATATGTGCGTGATAACATTTTGCTACATGTATTTCGCTCGATATAATATTTACCTGTACACAATAGTGAGACAGGTTGACTTTCTTTGTAGACGTGCTGTTCATGATTTCCAGACACCAAAGCAAGCCAATTTAACAAATATGACAAAATCGTATCAATTAATTCTTTCTTATGCGCCTTGCATAAAGTCTTATTCAGTTTTGTGTCAGACTTATTATTCTTATCTCTGTAAGTGTACAATATATTCTGAAACCGAAATGTAAAATAAATTCATAATTACTGAAATACAATTATGATAACGTATTTCACTACATGTATTTCACACAATATAATATTTACCTGTACACAATAGTGAGACGCGTTGATTCTTTCTGTAGATTTGCTGTTTATCATTTCCAAACACCAAGACATACCGACATTTTCATAACGGATGTTATGAAAATTTTTGATTACAAAGATGTAATCAAGGAAAAAGAGATGTTTAAAACAATACTCTTTCCCAATCCCCAATTCTCAATCCCCAATTCTCAATCCCCAATCCTCAATCCCCAATCCTCAATCCCCAATCCCCAATTGTGTATTTATGCATTGTATGTGTGTAATATGTCATTGTGTGTGTGTCCGCAATAGTGAACTTGGGTCCGTAGGTTTAAGAATTATGCGGATTAATCTTCCCTGCAGTCAATATATATTGCAGATCACTATCCTTATTAGAAGGGTATTGACACTCCTGTGAAAATCTATGCGTGTCCACTGATCAGTCTAATAATTTAAATAATTAATTTTTATTTAATAATTCAAATTAAAGCAAATTTTAACGTAAAAATATAAGTCAAAGATGATTTTAATCTAATAATCTAAGTAAGTTAAAGTTAAATTCAATTTAATAATTCGAACAAAAGTTCCAATAATTCAAGTTCAAAACTAATTTTAATTTAATAATCTAAGTCAAAATCAATTTCTATCAAATCAAGATTATTTTTACTTCAATAATTTAAATTAAAACTAATTTCAATATAGTAATTTAAATTAAAGTCAATATCAATTAAATTAAAATTAATTTCAATCTAATAATTTGAGTCAAAGTTAATGTCAATTAAATTAATCCAAGTTAAAAATTTTAATACAATAATTAATAATCTAAGTCAAAGCTCTAATATTGAGCTATAAACAATCCAAATTAAAATTAATTTTAATTTAATAATTCAAATTATTGCCACTTTTAATTACATTAATTAATCCAAGTCAAATTAAATTTTCATCCAATAATCTTAATGAAAATTAACTTCTACCCAAGTTAAAAGTTAATTTTAATCCAAATTAAACAGAATAATTCACGTCAAAGCCGATTTCAATTCAGGTTAAATTAGCTTCAATTCAAGTCAAAATTAAAGTTAAATTAAATTCAATAATTAAAATTAAAATCAATTTTAATCTAATAACAATCTAAACAAAACTAATTTTACTTTAATATCTAAATAAAAGTTAATTTTAATTAAATAATTCAAATTT